TTTTTTTTTAAAGGTAGATAGATAAAGATAAAGATACATATATATAGATATAGATATGATTAATGAATTCAAGCCAGCAATAAAAAGAAAAGATCATGGTTAAAATGTATTCAAATGTTTATGTTTAGTATGTTTCGTAGCTATTTTTTCTTGAATTCTACTGGTTGGTTAAGTATTACAAGTGTGTGCTGTTATGCTTGAGAAGCGATTGATTAATGATACAGAAATGGAGGCATGTAAACCGGAAAATGAAACATGGATGAATGGATGGATCTATTTACTCATCCATTTAGAAATGAAGTGTGTCTGACAGAATAGCTGGATAGTGTAGTGGTAAGGCTACACACCTTCGGAGTGGGAGTTGCAGGTTTGATTCCCTCTCGTTATCCAGTAAGGGCTGTTCTAAAACCAAGCCCTGGAATGGCGTGGCTACGCCTGCAGCGCAGACACACGCGTTTCACTATACTGTGTATGTGACAAAAGAAATTTGTATCTATTTAGATGCATCAGTAGAAAGTGTTGTAAACCATTAAGAAACCATTTTATTATCTTTAATGTTTTCATCATGTTTAAACACATACACGATATTTAAAGCTGAGTCTTTTTGCTTTGTGACATCTGAGCCATTGAAACTGACAGTCTCAATGTTGTGAAATAGATAATTCATAAAAAATGTCATTCTCCCTCATGTGTTAACAGATCTTGTCTGTGTTTTTAAGTCCTCAGGGACAGTGGGGCCTTGACTGGGTTTACTTTGCATCCCCCATCAACAACACACATACATGTACACGCACAAACGCACGCAAACGCGCACACAACCCACCAGAGATCAGGATTACAGGATCAGGGGTGAAATTGTATTTGTCTAAACTCTTAATGCTGCCCTGACGTGACATGTGGCCCGAGCAGTGAGGAGGAGGGGGAGGACGCTGCGATCTGTGTGCGCATGTGTGCGTGTCTATATGTTTGTGTGTCTGCCCGCTGTGAGGTGTTGTTGTTGTTTTGAGCTGGTGAAATCACAAAGTGGATTGCAGCATTCATGTTCTCCATACTAAATACTTGAACTGGGACACAAAATTATTGTATTACACAGAAGTAATAAGAAGAATGTACGAGATGATTAAGAGTTATGCTACTAGAACTTTGGCTGCGTTTTCGGGGAAAATGTTGGCTCAGTTAAACACAGAAAAATCCAGGGCGTCCCATCTAATGCTCTAAATTACTCAGCCAAGGCCACAAACGTTCTATAACCCCAAACAAGTCGTCAGAGCAGCCGAAATCCAATCATAAAACATTACTTGTGCTTTAGTTGCAAGATTGCATTGGTGAAAAACATTAAATGACATTAAGTGACAGTTAGAGGTTTACAAGTTGCACATTTTCAACATACATTTAGCTGATGATGATGAATATTCAGTGAAATATAACATGCATGTGTCTTTCTGTGGTTTCACTCCTTTGCTGCCTCCGCTTTGCATAACCTCAGAGCACGTGGAAAAACAGTGCTGGGTCAAAATTTAAGTGCTTTCATATGTGTCCGTTTGAGTTTTGAGTACCCAGTGGCAGGTTCGCAGGTATAAGAACGGATGAAATATATTTTTATGACCCAAATTTATTACGACAATGTATATTTATCTGCCTAAAATAATATTAACAGTCTGGGATCCTGGAAGAAGTAAAATTACAACTAATGATAAAATGACCGTACAGTCAAGCAAGGCATTAGCAGTGACACTAAACACTCCCAGCAACCTCCCAGTGTTGTGGTTGCACCCGTGGAGTTTCTGATGTAATCTCTAACCGAAAGCCAATCACAGCATGAAGTTTCTCTTCAGACTTGTCGGGCGCACAATATGTTGCATTTGAGTGCTTTTCAGAGCTCCACTGTAATATTCCTGTTGGTTTCAATGGGAAGTGGTATTTAAACTGTCTGCTGCAAAGAAAATAACCATTTAAGAAAGAATATGAAGTAAACGTTTGAACAAAGAAGGCACCAGATGCACAACTTTCCGTGTTTTTAGTGGTGTGTGTTCTGCGCGGCGGTTTTGCCCAGGACTCTCTTTAATTTAGAGAAAAGAACGTTTTCAAATCAATAAAGCTTAAAATAAAAATAAAAATTCCCAAACAAAAATTTCATGTTCTAAGCTTTCATTGGTTTTTCATTCTTGAAAACGCTGATTAACAACAGAAGAAAACAAATAAAAACTTAAATGAAGCTGTGGAGCCTTGTTTTTTACTTTGAAATAAATGAAAAGGTTTTTGACTGTGGCTTTCAGTGTGATGCATTATGGAAATAACAGTCATCTACGCCGTGAATAGTTGTCCTTGTAAAGCTTAATTTCACATCATCCTGTGCTCTGTCCAGCCCAGCTGCATTAACGCTCGTTTTTTTCCCCCCACGCTTTAAGCTCCACTGTGGTCTCCAAGTATTTATTTGGTTTGAAATTCAGCTCTCATTCTTGTTGTCTTGATGTGTGCGTTTAGGAGTGTTTGAATGTGTGTATCAGTTCAGTGTTTCAGGGGTCTGCAAACAAGCCACCGTTGTTTGACATCGGCACACGAGACTCCTGAAAGCTCTGCCAGCTCGAACAGATGCAAGGTGCAGGAGTCTCCGAGATTTATGCACACACGCAGATGCACACGCGTGAATTCACATGCTCTAATACACAATGCATGCGCTTGGCATGCTGTAAAAAAAATGAGTAGATAAATCCTAAGAATATTTGCACCCTTGTACACAGGATGTGCATGAAAAATCGAGAAAAATATTTATAGCCATGCACACACTCCCAGATATACACACAGACATGCCTTCTAATCTCCTGGGAGAAAGCCAACAAGAACGGGATAGAAAGAGGGGAGGAAGGGAGACAAGTGAAAGACAGAAAAAGAAAGAAAGAGAGGGTTGTATGAGCTTTGGTCAGAAGGGGAGGAGAGGAGGACATGTGTGGATGTGTGCACGCGCACACACCCTTCCTCTGCTCTGAAGGGGGCATCTGTATGCAAATGAGACACGGTTCTTCCTGGGTGACAAATCAAAAGGCCCACCTGCTGCAAGGGCCCGTCTGTGTGTGTGTGTGTGTGTGTGTGTGTGTGTGTGTGTGTGTGTGTGTGTGTGTGTGTGTGTGTGTGTGTTGGGAATAACGCAGCCTGTCTAATGAACAGAGTTGAGAGTTACTGCTGTGTCTTGGCCAAAGCATCTCATTCCTCTCTTCTCACTCTTCAGAAGACATTAGCAGCTCTCCTCCCCCCCACATATGCACACTCATATAGTACGTCCCACATGGAAAACCTGTTAGGGGTCACTGGGGAACTTCATCTCATTGTCCTGGAAAAACAATGAAAGAGCCACACAGACAAGTTTAAACTTTTTTGTGCCACCCAAATTTTAACATTTGTAATATTTTCAAAATAAAAGCTATTCCTTGGTGTATCCATGTGCAGCG